TGAATCAGCAGACGTTGAAATTAAAAGCAGTTACCTGAGAAACGATAATTCTATCAGTGAAAAATCCGAAGGATTTTCTATGTCTAAAGCACCACCGATATCAGATCCAATTTGTAGATATAAAACAGTTTATTTAAACGGTTGTGGTGGATCTGGAAAGACAACACGTGTGATAGAATTATATCGAGAGAGAACGTCCATGATTGTACTCACACCAACCCATAGACTAGCGAGAGAGATAAAACAACGCCAAAAATCCAAAGGATTTTCCGTTGAAGCTTGCACGTATCATAGTTTTTTCGATACAAGGGCGATGCTTGGACTCCTGAGCGAATGGGTGAAAAATTTATTCATGCGGTTATTATTTGGGATGAAGCATGTACTGTTTCAGAAGATGTATTAAAAATGTTTCTTGATTGGTTATTGCAAAATAATACAAAAGTTATATTGTGCGGCGATCATGGTCAACCACCAAAATTTGTTGGTAGAAGTCCACATAATTGGTTAAAAGGATTTGTTGATTATTACGAAGAAATTGATACTGACTATAGAGCACTCGATAAGCAGTTACGTGAGTTTAAAAAACTAATTAGATTACAACCCGATAGAATTCAATGTGAAGTAGCGCGTGAAATAATTTCTGAAACACCTATGAATGATTTTTGGGAAATATGGAGACCAAATGATTTTGTAGTAGCAAGTAGAAAGATAGTCAGAGACGCACTTCAGAAAAAGTTGTTTGAGCTACATAAGAAAAAATTCCAAACGTTTCCAGTACCGTTGTGTTATAGACAAATGGATACACGAAAGCAGAATATTGAAGTTGAAATTCCAGGCCAGACGGAGAAACAGATTCTAGTGTTAAATGATATTGTGCTAGTTGATATCAATGCTGTAAAAGATGCATTATGCGCTGATAAATCACCATGGACGCTTGGTTATGTAACAACAATACACTCGTCACAAGGATTGACCATCACGGATACAATTGTTTGGATAGTTGATAATCGCATTGAATGGTCAAATTTAGTCTATCTCGCAGTGTCCAGAGTACGACGAATAAATCAACTACGAAGGATTGTTTTCAATGATGATTTTAATGCAAACGATGATAACACTGATATTAGCATCATTAATAAAAAAAACTCTCTGGTTACAAAAAGCAGGACAAAAAAAACAACGAGAATTTGATATTGATGCTGAAGTAATAATCGCATTAAAAGAACAACAGAATAATCACTGCGCCAGTTGCAATTGTATAATGCACTGGCAGTATTCGGATAAAGACCCTCGACAATTCACCGTAGACAGAAAAAATAACAGTCTTGGTCATGTCAGAAACAATGTGATGTTGACCTGTCTTGAGTGTAATAGACGTAACGGAGCTAGTTAAGACCATGTGGCGGTAATTGAGTATCGTCCGGAATGACTTGTAGTTGTTCGCGTGTAAAACCACGCTGAGGTGCAGTTGAATCAAATCTGTAGATTGGAGGTCTACCAGTTGATCGCGTTATGGTTGAAATTTTATGCGTAGTAACACTCCATATAGGATCAGTAGCTCTTCTTTTACCACCTTCAAGTTCTCCTAAAGGAGAATATATATCTCACAGTAACATCACCGAAAAGTGGCTGAGTGCTACCCCGCTGTGGTTGTTCGGGTATATATTTTTTATTGCAATATTTGGTTTCATATTAATAATTCGAGTAATCTCGTTATTTAACGCTGCAACTACACTCGGTAACCTTTGGACCCATTCACGAGATCGTTTTTCTTGGATGAATTCTTTTGCATATTGATATCCAAATAACCGTTCTGCAAGAGTTCGATTAAATCGTTCTACAATTGCCTGATCACGATGTAACGCAATATGTCCCCGTCGTATTGTAACATTATGAGTTTTCATTGTTGATAGAACAGCACCTTGAAACTCTTTGCCAGGATCAACTTGTAATAGATTTGGCCATCTTAGAGGACCTCGTCTATAAATCATTTCAAATGCAGAAGCGACTTCAGAAGCTGACTTTGCTTTTAATGGTTCTGCTTGTTTAAATCGACTCGCAATATCAACTACAGTTAGCGCGTATTTGTAACCATGGTCATGTGGTAAAAACAATAAATCAGCCTGATGAACTTCATTGGGTACGGTAACATCAAAATGAGAATAATTAATTTGTTTAGGCGGTGGTAGATAAATTTGCCATATAGCTTGTTTGGATAACCAATCTTTCGCAGTGGACTTTTTCACTTTTGCAACGTTAGCGAGTTTACTGATTGCTGCTTTACCCCTCCAGTATCCTTTCGGAGAATAATAAATAGATTCCATACTATAAAAACACTAATGTTTTTAATTACCAGCACCTAACACCAATTTGCCTTTCATAGCTGATTTGACCAACCATGAAGCCAATTTTTCTTTGAAGGATTTATCGGGAATAGCATTTAACGCATGAATTAATTTTACATCCGCGAGATGTCTTTGTTGCAAATTATTGCTTTTATATGCAACATCATGAGCATGACATGCCTTATCAATAGCATTTATCGGATACTCACCAGGCCGGGGCTGATTTTGATCATCACGTCTGATATCTAATCTCGTTCCGGGACCATAGTAACTATATCCTGGAAGGTGTTTTTCTCCGGGGTATTTTGCCCATGGGGTTCCGGGGAGTTTTCCAAGTTTTGCGGCAATATCACCTCCGAGTTGTTATTTTTTAAAAATCTAAATTTTTTTGTACCACATGTTACACACTTACCATTAAGCGCTAGTCTATTGTTTTTAGTTGTAATGGTTGTCTGATCGGTTGTATCAGTACGCTGTTTACATTTAACACAATATAAATCCATAATTTATATATAGAGTTATGAATATAATTGATTTTTCAGCGACTAAAAGAAGAGAACCGGTAAAACATCACGCAGCGCTTCCGAATTCTCTCCGTGCCATTATAATCGGACCATCTGGATCGGGTAAAACACAATTGCTGCTTAATTTGATAATGCGATTTATGAAGTGGGATAAATTATATTTAGTTGCCCCATCCGTAGATGATCAACGGTGCTATGAAGTGCTAAAAGATTATAATGAAAATGCATCAGAAATTAAAGGTGAAAGTGTAATCTACTTTATTACTGATATTAATGATGCACCATCAGTAGAAGATCTCGATGGAAACATAAACAATCTTGTAGTGTACGATGATGTAATGTTAGATAATCAAAAGAACCCTGCTAGAATGTTTTCCCGAGGTAGGCATAAAAACACTGATGTGATATATGTCACTCAACGATACACTCAGATTCCAAAAGTGATTCGCGATAACTGCAATATTCTTGCTGTATTCAACGGCGTTGATACACATACGCTACGAAATATTTGGCAGACATGGTGTTCCGATATGGACTTCAATGGATTTAAAAATTACTTTAGTCATGCTCAGTCAGTCCCATATGGATTTATAACAATAAATTTACACGACCCTCGGTCACAATATCGTATTGGACTTGATCAAATATTTGGTTAAATAATTTGTATTAATCAGCAGCAGGGGGAGGGCGATATGACAACATATTTGCGACGTAGATGGCAGTAATTTTGAGGGTGGTTATGACAATGTATTTACGACAAAATCGCTAAGGCTCCATTTGTAAAATGGGGTCTTTATTTTTTTTTTTTTGGTTAAAATATGAGATTTCGTAGGAAGGCTCCATTTGGCATTCTGAGGCTTTAATCGATTTTGTCGCAAAAATTTGTAGGGTTCGCCCTCCCTGCTGCTCAAGCATTTACAGAGTTTAAGATGAGCACCGAGAGACTATAGATAAACACATAAAGACTTCAAGATGAGCAATGAGACACTATAAGACAAACACTTAGATTCTTCAAGACGAGCACTGATATACTATAAGATAAACACGAAGAGAGTTGAAGTCGATAAACTTTTCGAGAATTCAAGATGAGCACTGAAATATTATAATATTAAAAGTTAAAGTCGAAGATGAACAATCAGAGATTATAAGATAAACACTTAAAGGGTTCAAGATTTTCACAGAGAGATTATAAGATAAACACTTAGAGATTTCAACATGAGCACTGAAAGACTGTTAGATAAACACTGATAGTTCAAAATGAGCACTGAGAGACTATAAGATGAACACATGGAGAGTTCAAGATAAACACTGAGAGACTAGAAGATAAACTCTTAGAGAGTTCAAGACGAGCAATAAGAGACAATAACATAAACACTAAGAGAGTTCAAGACGAGAACTGCGAGACTATAGGATAAAAACTTAGACGGTTCAAGATGAGCACTGAGTGAATGTAAGATAAAGACTAAGAGAATCCATGAGCACTGAGAGACTAGACGATTACCACTTAGTGAGTTCAAGATGCGCACTGGCACACTATAAGATGAGCACTAAAAGATTTCAGATGAGCACTCAGAGACTATAAGATAAACACATAGAGAGTTCCAGATGAGCACTAAGAGACTATAAGATAAAAACTTAGAGGGTTCAAGATGAGCATTGAAAGATTATAAATAAACACTTAGAGTGTTTAGATGAGCACTGAGAGACTATAAGATAAACACTTAGATAGTTCAGATGAGTACTGAGAGACAATAAGATTAAAACTAAGAGAGTTCAAGATGAGCACTGAGATAATATAAGATGAACACTTAGAGAGTTTAAGATGAAAAATGAGAGACTAGAAGATAAACACTTAGAGAGGTCAAGACGAGCTCTGAGAGACTATTCATATGATGTGATATGGTTATTATTTTTAACGTAGCTTTAAAGATTGTTTAGTCATATCGTACAATGTCTGCAGTGTGTCAGTTTATAGTGATGTCTAGCACTGGGGAATCATGTCGCAGACATGTAGCATGAATTCCCACCCAGTCACATTATCCTGACACTAGGCCGCCCAGTTCTAAAACTAGTCTTTTAATGCTGAGCATCAAGCGAGGCGGCTGTTTGTACGATTTTTGTAAGTCTTTGGTATGACTCGACCGGAAATCGAACCCAAAACCTCCCAAATTTGAGGCGGACACTCTAACCACTAGGCTACCAGGATTGGTTCTGATAGACTATTAGATAAACACCAATATAGTTAAAGACGAAAACTGAAAGACTATAAGATAAACATTTAGAGAGGTCAAGTTAGCAATGAGAGACTTTAAGATAAAAAGTTAAAGAGTCCAAGATGAGCACTCATATACTATAAGAAAAACACTTAGAGGTTTCATGACGTTCACTGAGAGATTATAAGATGAACACTTAGAGAGTTCAATATGAGCACTGAGAGACTATTAGATAAACACTACGAGTTCAAGTAGAGCACTGAGAGACTATAAAATAAACACTAAGAGTGTTCAAGATGAACACTGAAATAATATAGGACGAATACTTATATAGTTCAATATGAGCACTGAGAGACTAGAAGATAAACACTTAGAGTTCAAGATGAGCACTGAGAGGGAATAGGATAAACACTTAGAGACTAAACGATGATCACTGAGAGACTAAATGATAAATACTAAGAGAGTTTAGGATGAACACTATGATGATATGATTTCTTCAGCTGTGGTTCTGGGTATTTAATTCTGTTTCTGATTTTTCTGTGATATAGGCTCTTTCGGCGAAATCAACAACATCCTTCCTAGTATCCAACCTTTCCTTTTGACTCATTAAGCCTTGCCGTCTCGTTTATTCGTCAGGAGGTAGTAGCCTACATCCGAGCTCTGTAGCGTCAAAGCATTTAAGATTCAGTAAAGTTGGTATTATAGAAACGTTGACAAATGTAGACAAATCGTTGACAACAATACCAAATAATCTAGACTTTCTAGTTGAACTATAAACTACAGAGGGTACAGAGTGTGAGAAAACGTCATTTTTTGGACCCGATTTGTTTTCCATCCAAAATTGGTTCGCGAACGGAATTCGATTTTGCGTACTAATTTAAAACTTTTTGGCCTCGTATCTAAGACAAACCGGTCTGAACTGCACGCGGACAGACGAACCTTTAGCCATGATGATTTCCAGTATCCGTGGTTCCAATGTGTTCTTTAAATGAAGTATCAAACCAGTGTTCAATATTTTATACTTGAATCTTAAAAACCTTAAATGAATAATCCACAAAACTCGGCGTGTCTTCTGTTGGCTGTTAGCCAATTGTTGTTTATTTGCCATTCCAGTAGTTCGTTAGCCAGGTGTGTCCAAATCACAGTATGGCTCGTCCGATATATGGCATTGATTTCATCTTATATTGTCTTAGAAGACCGGCGCCATACTATTTGGACCCTTTTTGATACTATAAAACATACAAATTCAATGGATGACAACAACACCATAAGTATGTATCATGGATGACAACAACACCATAAGTATGTGTCATGGATAATAACAACACTATAAGTAAGAACTTTCTTAGTTTCATAAAGAATGTCGCTTTAAAATTCAATATAATTTAGTTTACCAGCCATATTTCTAGGCATGTATAAAGGTTTCAGTGAGCAACTGTTGGATTGTTGGATTGTTTCGATACAACAAGAACGAGTACATGTAATAATATTCTAGGAATAAAAAAAATATAATATAATTGAAACGGACTGGTAGCAATCATTATTATTTACTACAACATTCAAGTGCTATAATTTACTTCAAAAGATGAATCTACCCTCAAAGTCATAAAACAGGACACGAAAGAGAATCTGGGAAATAAAACTAATTTCAAAACCTGTAGCTAAATCATTGGAGAATAAACAACAGGAGGGAACGATATAGTGGGTTGTGCGTATTTCTACTCAAGAAAGAGGCTTACATCAAATTTAGTTTCTTTATATTCAAAGTGTCAAAAATATTACCTGAATGCAAAACTCATCCACGAAAAAAAAACAGTAAATTGTAATCTATGGTTGCCAATCGTCAGCAGTAAGTATTAATTAAAATGGACCACTCAAGTTTTATTGGATTATATACAACAACAGCAAACAACTGAAGTAAAACGGAAAATCTTAAAATTGACTATGACGCCCTCAACATTAATTAGATCATAAAAAGGTTGCCAGTGTCTCGTGCATATTCCATAGGTTGCATAAAAAGCGAAGCGAATCGAAAGTGAAATGTTTAAATTATTTTGTCCAAATTGTTTTCAAACTGAAATTAAGAAAATTGCACAACAGAGATTAATTTGTAATTGCGTTCTATCGAGTATTTTTTGTAGTAGCCCAGGATAAAGCATTGAAAATCCATAGATACTACGTTTAGCGAGTATATTAAAAAAATGAATGTACAGTGGATATTCCTGTTCTATTTTTAAGACGATAGGAAGACTGACAGTGTATCAACTTTGTCAAAAGCAAACAATGCACTCCATTTAATGTCATCATTAATTTTTAGTGTGTGATAGAACATAAATGTGTTGGTATGTTTGTGTGAGTGTCAACATTCCTACAGCTTTCCTTCATTTCAGATAACGTGCTGGAGTCTATCACTACGACGTATATGCTTACATTCATACCGTTTCCCCCTTCACCCTATGTTTGGACAAGTAATCGGGAATGAGTGATGGTATAATTGTATGAATTTCACAAGTAAAACTTAAACCCACACTGCTTTCTTGTGTAATAGTTCATCAGTACGAGATTTATGCTAGTTTGCAAGTGTTACCATGGCTATCCTTCTAATTACATTCTAAGTTTAATAATCTGTGAGCATGCGTTTTAAGTTTGTGTGCATGTTTGGAGAATAAACATTGAAACACTGTTCTTTCATTTACCTCTCTTTGGCACTATAAGAAAGCTGTAGGGTCGAGTGCAAAGCAACCAGAGATTGTGTTGGTTAGTAGATGTAAGTAATGGTGAAAGACGTGCTAGTGCTAGCTTCTGTATACATGTGGGTGATGTACAGTCATAACGCGTTTAGTTATTAGGTGTACGTGTTAATCAGTCTATATGTGTATTTATCAGTAGTCATGTCTGCTGCTCTGTAGTTGCTGTTATTGGACAGTTAATATGGTCGCTAGTCAGTCAGAGGACGTGTTGCTTGCTCAGAAGCTACGGGTGCTGGTCAGTCAGATGGCCTGATGGTCAGTAGATTTTTATGATGTTCAGTAAATATGGGATGAGGGTCATCAGACGGTGTGTTAGTAGATGTAGGTCAGCAGACTTTGGAATTAGGGTGTAGATGGATGCTTGAGACTCAGTGTGTTGCTTTGTAGGTATGGGTGTAGGCAAGTATGTAAGTATGGTGGACATTAGTAATTATTGCTTATAAACAAATGCAAATTTTGGTCAGTAGACGCATGTGTATTGATTAGACGATCATTCCATATTGCCGTACGCCAGTTGACAGATCATTGTATGGGTCAAAATGGTGACCGAATGTTTCAGTTCAATGTACCCTATCCAGCTTCATAATGTTTAACTAATATAGTTTAATGGAGTGAAGTTGTAGGAGTAATAAAACATTCACATTTATCACAGACTGTCCCATGATGCTATTCCGTTTCACGTTTTATAACATTCTATTTCCATTTCACCAAATACAGTCCCATAATGGTATTCCATTGGATCGTTTTAACATTGCATTTCCAAGTCAGCCTCATGAAGCTAAATTCTCACTAACACCTGCAGTCCCATATGATGCTGTATTTTCCTCGTTACTGTCTACAGCCTCATTAAACATAGTGCCAGTCGCAAAAGAAGAAAGAAACTAATCTCTATGTATTCCTTGTGATTCTTTTGAGGCAAAAATCTTTTCTATTTATAAAATTGTATTCCTTATCCATTCGTTTGTTCACATGAGGAGATCTATATTGCTCTAGAAAAAAAATTGATTGAAAATTTGAGTTTCTCCCAGTACATCATTAATATTGTACAGACTTTATTTCTGACTCTCTCAACAAGTCAAGCTGAAAGTAATGTTGAGGAAATAAATGTAGTTCCTATAGGCAGCTATCAGTCTTGAAAGGTCATTGCAGATAATTTGCTTTTCTAAAGTCCAGATGGGTTACATATTTCTCCTAGGATAAATGCACACTCGTTATAATCGTTGGCCTTGGGATTTGGATCAAGAGAATACCATATACCTGTTACACAATATGCATCATCCGAATCTATTTTACTATGTTTGTTATTCATTTTGCATTAAATGAGTCTTTCATGCTACCATCATTATTATCTAGTGACAAAGTTAAAAGGATTTTCAAATACATTATTACCACAAACATGGCATACAGGACTGACCTCTCTTTCATCAGCGATATAATGAGATAGCCTTTGACTATGAATGAATGTGAAACTCATTTATCCATCCCAGTTGAACAAAACAAGGAATATCGTCTGAATACTAAATCTACTAGGTTTCAATGGTGGTTTCAAAGTTGATTTCTCTTGCATTGTTACAAGAGTGTTGTTAAAATAGAACAAACTTCAAAGTTTGCAAAATAGTACAAATTTTTAAAATTAAATACCCTGCAATTAGCTAAACGACATGGAAACAGTCCCCTAAATAGTATGCCAATCAGTCGGAGTTCTTTTTCTCTTCTTTTTTGGGGTGTGGGTGGGTGGGGTGTTTTTGTTACTGCTCCTGCGACTGTTTACTACATAAATACAGAACACGAACAGGTCAATCCTCGATTCAATTTCAACGATTTCATCCACTAAGGTAACTTAGTGTATGAAGAACTTTACATTGGTTTATCAACTAGAGCAAATATATAACAATTAATATACAGTCATAGAAGAAAAACAATTGTAGCAGGACGGTGCAAATACAACGCACCAGACAATTTCAAATTCGGCTCGAATATGTTCACGTTTGGGGAAAAGAGAGAGAGAGAGAGAGAGAGAGAGAGAGAGAGAGAGAGAGAGAGAGAGAGAGAGAGAGAGAGAGAGAGAGAGAGAGAGAGAGAGAGAGAGAGAGAGAGAGAGAGAGAGAGAGATGGTGAAACGGAGGAAGAAAGGTGTTTTGTAAGTATTGCCACAAAAAAATTGTCACCAACTTTACTAAATACGTAGTCATTTTGCTGGCATAGGACACCACGTAGTATACTTTGCGTAATCATTTTTCAGG